CAAAAATGTTCTTTTCTTCGCTTTTATATTTAAATTAGTCAGATAATTTGATATTAAACACATTATTTTAGGGGCTCTAACCTTATCGTGTAAATTACTCAGGAAAATATATATAATAAATAAAAATATAAAGTGTTAAATGTCAGACAAAAATTGGGTTGTGTCTGATATCTTACTAGAATTTTATTTTTATATTAATCTGTATAATAAATAATATTGCAGTGTCTAAACTTTAATATAGAATAATAAAATTGAGGCTTGTTGGGTAATGTAAAGCTCTTAGACTAAATATTTCAAATATGACCATAATGTCAGTTTAGATTTTATTTTGAAAGCTGCACATTTTTAAGCGGCGTGTGAGTAACGCAGACTTGATTTAACACATCGCTGAGCCACGCTGACATGTTCCCTCATTCCCACCAACACGCATTCTATAGAGGACGAGTTGTGCAATAATCCACGGCTCAAAATACCCTTTAACAAATACGTTCTAAACTCCAGCGGCCGCGTGTTTTACTAGCCCCCCTTTTAAAAGTTTGATCTTATGCGTAACCAGTTTTTAAAATTTTACATCTTCAGCGGGAGCCAGTGAGTTTGGGGCTGACGGAGCAGGAGGTATGTATATTTAGAGCTGGTTGGTTTTGATCTTTTTTTGGGGGGGTTTTTTATTGAGAAAAGTATAGAATAACCCCAGCCGTGTCCTTTAACTGCGCCAACTCTGTGGACTGCGTGTTTTTGCGAAGCGCTTCTTCGCTATACCTTTTTTTTTTTTTTTTTTCTCAAAGTCTACGAAACCTGCGCCGTCCCAAAATAGTCCTCCGATCCCCTGAGAGTTGTCTCGGTTACCTGACAGACCAGCAATACCTGTTAGAGGCGCTGCACAGTCACTGTCAAAGTCACAAGCAGAGAGGAGCTGGCTGCGTTCCAGTCCAGGGTAGGCTGGGTGGTACTACAGCAGCAGCACAAGCAAGAAAGTCCCACAGATCGGAGGAAGAGGGAGGGAGAGGCAGAGTGTATTTGAGTGGGTCAGCAGGATAAACATAGCACAAGTGCTGGAGACATCAGGGTTGAAACAGATAGACAGAGACGCAGAACTGCTCACCTGCCATGCATATTTTACAGTCCCACTGCGTCATCAGGTCAGCGCTGTAAGTCTGTTTGTGTCATCTTTTTTGGCTCGTGCTGTTTGTTTCTTGTGTTTGTCTTTGGGCTTGTGCAGCACGTGTGAGCGGCTTTTCACAGGGGGTGGGTGGTGGTGGTGGTGGGGGGGGATTCGTTCGGTCTGTTTAACGCCAGCCGGAGCCCCTGTACCGTGTGCGCTGCAGAGAAAGTACAGTGTGTGCATGTTTGTGTGGGGTTAGCTCGGGTTGCTGAGGCACACTGTGCGGGACTTTGCATACTTAGAGGTATGTTGCAATCTGTATCCCGTCAGAGTGTGAGAGAGCTGGGGGATAGAAAAGTACTCTGTGGTATGCCTGTGCTGCACACAGCGTCGTGCCTCGACCTGCAAAAAAAAACTCACATTCCATCAAAAAAATATTCAATTATGCATGATGTTTTTTAGCCATGAACACAAATGCTCATATGTGCTTAGCGGCAGCACGTTCACCGGCTCAAGTCTTCCTGCATTTGTTTTTTTTTTTTCTTTTGCATATCTGTCATATCAGACAAGAAGTTAATTGCAAGTAGAGATGAAGTAATCTGTAGTTAATATAACCAGATTTGGAAGTTTTCCCACTTTGTAGATACAGTAAATTTTTTTTGTTATGTTTTTATTTTGTTGGTTTTTGTGTTGCTGTTCTTTTAAGCTCACTTCTAAGGCTCCGCCAGGAGTGCTAAGCTTCTTTTTTTTTTTTCTTAGCTGCAAGGGTGCTAATATTTTCATGAGTGCTATTTTGGGATTGATCAGATCTTAATAAGAGCTGGAGCTCGTTCAGAGAGCCCGAGATTTGCATTATCATTTCATAACTGTTTCATCGCTGTGCCAGTTTCTCTGGCTGTTGTGCCGTCATGTAGCGAGTGTGTGCTTGTAAACAGAAGGCTGCAGCGCTCACATGAGGGAAAACAAAGGTCAGCATGTGGCAGGTTGATTATTACCTGTTGTTAGGAGGCTCGGCATGGGAGATAAAACAATAGTGATAATCATCAGTGATCGACACTTTGATAGTTTAATTTAAAGGCTTCAGATGCAAACCACAATGAAAGCAAATTACAAAAATGGTTGAGTGAACAAACTTCAAGCATGCCCCATCCTCGGTTCATAAACATCTTGTCACCTAAAACCATGGTGTGCTACTTACCGTAACTGGATTCCATGCAAGTGTGTCATTGTGACTGTAAGTGTTACCCTTGTAGGTTGGGCTTTGTGATTTAAAAATGCTTTAATGTCAACCTACGCAATGTACTTCTGCGCCAAGAGTTGACAGACTTGACATCAGGGTGTGGAAGTACTCAACATTGAGGTGATGATGGACTTGATGTCGAGGTGCTGATAGGCTTGATGTTGCGGTGCTGACGGACTTGACTTTGGGGTGTGGAAGGACTCAACATTGGGGT